GAAGGTCCTGGGTTCGAACCCTGGCGGTGGGTGCGTACTGATGAAAAGTCCCAAACTAGGACGAAACAGCTGTCCAGTACTCCCAGCTGGTTTTCCAATGGTTCTCATGATGAAATCCTGAAATCAATCAAATCCCTACAAACCAACACTTGAAAATCACTAAGGGACTTACATACTAAAATTTCAAAAACTACAGTCGAACAATTGAGGCCAACTTCAGCTATGGAGTTTTGGGTTAAGCAACTTTGAGTACTGTCGTCTGTGATGCGTTAATTAATGTTTAGCAGGTTCCGATGAATATTCCCCTATATCTTAGCAATTTCTTATTGACTACGGAATTCAAGATCATCATCTTATGGATAACAAAATATCAGAAGATTTATAAGTCCATCATTTTACTGAGATGACTTATTGTGAAATTATTTTTCACTGATCAGGTTGTATTATTATTTTTAATGAGTGAAAGTCCTTGTTCTATCTGTGTCTCTTTCCCCCTTCCTTTCATTCCGTTCCTGTGAAGTACCATTTCATTGGCATTTTCACAAGGGGTAAGGTCCCAAAAATACCAACAACATCACGTACACAACTACAAGTTGACACCGATCCTCCAACGAAAGCTGAAGTCTTGAATGCCATCAAGCTTCTGAAAGCTGGAAAAGCAGCTGGACCAGATGGAATACCCCCGGAAGCACTGAAAGCGGACCCGGAGACGACAGCAGATATGCTGACTCCATCATTGCAAAAGGTCTGGAAGGAGGGAAAGGTGCCTACTGACTGGAGGATAGGTTACCTCGTGAAACTACCAAAGAAAGGCGACTTATGCCTCACTCTGCAAGAACTGGCGAGGAATCATGCTCCTGTCGACGCCAAGTAAAATCCTGAGTCGCATCATCCTGAAGAGAATAAAGGACGCACTGGATACAGAACTCCGACCAGAACAAGCTGGATTCAAGAAAGGCAAATCATGTTCTGACCAAATTGCAACTCTACGCATCATCATCACAGAACAAAGCATGAAATGGCAATCAAAGCTCTACCTCAACTTTATAGACTTCGAGAAGGCCTTCGACAGCGTTGACCGCGAAGTTATCTGGAAACTACTCGACTACTATGGCGTACCCCAAATATTCATCAACCTTATTCAACAGCTGTACGACAACGTCACATGTCAAGTGATCCACAACGAAAAACTCAGTGAGGCGTTTGGAGTAAACACAGGAGTCAGAAAAGGGTGCTTATTATCACCAATGATATTCCTAATTGTGGTGGACTGGACTGGATTATGCGTCAGACAGTGGGAAACGAGATGACAGGGATATCCTGGACCAACGTGAAGAATCTAGAAGACCTGGATTTTGCGCGTGGATGATTTATGTTTGATGTCACACAAAATCGAAGACTTACAAGCGAAAACCGACAAACTGGTCGAAGAAGCAGCTGGAGAAGACAGGACTCAAGGTGAACATGGACAAGACGGAGGTTATGAAAATAACCAACCAGCAACAACAAAAACAGTATGGATTAACATAGACGCAGGTGAAAAGTATACCAGAAGACAGAAGCAAGTGGAGACATGTAGTTGAAGCCCTATGTTCCACTAGGAACCCAAGGGAACAAAAAAAATGATAAGGTCATACATCTGAAATATTTTCAATGCCAAATACAAAATCACTAAGTAACAGAATAGAGTCATATCTGGCTTCGGATTGTGTAGTTTGTAATCGCCTAATTAGTTAACCCGAATTCAAATAATTAATTAGTCTCTAATTGAGAGCAGTCAGAATTCATAGGCCATTGGATTCCTTCCCAGTAGCTGAATTCTCAGTTGTATACTGTTAGGCATTCACATATGTAAACATACTTTTAGGTATGGTCAGCTAATGTATACTCCAGTGTGAATTTTGTCACCAACCAATAGCAGTTATAAAGATCATTCAAAATCAGATAACACTTGAGAGGTGTTTCACCCTACTTTAGTTTAGGACTCTTCAGGACTGCACATCCATAATCTCAGCAAGGATAGAAACCCAAGTCAAACCCAATGCCAAAGTTGTTAACCACTCATCCATCCACTTGGACTGGAATTCAGTGATCCATGAATTTTAACTTCTGTCAATCCGTACTATAGCGCCATCCCTAACTAACGCTCTCGATGAGCACCCATTCTACTTTGATGTGGTGGGCCTCACTGCCCTCACTGACTTCTCAGTACAGCTTCGGGATATCCATCCAGTTGCCGCCATCTCTAAGTTTTGTATTCATACTTAGATTATGGTCTTTTTTTGTAGGGATTTAGATTAATTTCAATGGATGTAGAGTTTATCAAGAACCAACACCAATTAGAAATGAATTGTTTCGTCAAGAAAGAAATCGCCATTGAAACTATATTCCAAGTCCCCATTCATTATCAAAAAAATGTTTTTATTTTTCAATAAAGTAGTGACTGTTTTTCTCTTACATTACAGGCGAGTCGATTTCTTCTTCATCTTCTTCTTCAAAACCGAGGATTACACCTGCTGATCAATTACTGGCTCGTTTAAAAAAGCATCTTACAGTATCTCATGAAAAGGTTGTCCCAGAATCTGTTGAATATTCCATCATAACAAAGGTATGTTTCGTGTTAACAAAATAAGTAAAAAAAGTAGGGAAATGTTACTCAACATTCACTTACCTTTTCGTGTAGTTGGCAATGAGCCACAACTCGTGTGTGTGTGTGTGTGTGTGTGTGTGTGTGTGTATGTGCGTTTAATAGCTAATGATATATTACCCTCAGGCTACCCAAATCTCTGTAGGTACAGCAATGTTCGGACCCATGACCCACTACTGATTGATTGCAAGCCGAGTACCTCAATCAGTTCCGTGTAATTTTATTCTAATTCCAAGTTAAAAGTATAACACACTGTATATACCATTGTCGGTCGGTCGGCTTTCGACGTAGAACTTTGCACATATGTGCGCCAGTTCAAGTCGCCACACCATGTAACACACAAAGGAAGAGAAGAAAGTAGGAGAAATGCATATTAGAGACAGTGAACAAAGGTGTGAGACAAAGGAATAGTAATAACGAAGAACAAAACAGTTTCATTGGAAATCATAAGTCACAAGGAGTGGATGCATCTGCGCCAACCATTAAGGACGACCACTTTGAGTCATGTAACCGATTGTTTCCAGGCGCCATTGGTTTTTACCGTCCCGAGGACCCCAACCAGTCAAGGAGTGTACACCTTCCTACGTGACTGGCTTAGACTAACTGTTATAGATTTCATTGACTGGTGCCGCTAGTTCTTTTCCAGCCTGACCCTATATCAGCTAACATTGCCCATTGTCGAGGAAGGCGATCGATGGCTAGGCATACGTAGCACATGTCCTAACCATCTCAGTCGATGTAATTTCACAGCCTCGTCGATTGATTTACTCTCCCACCTGCCTAGCACTAGACCGACGCCTCACCTCAGTATTGCTCACCTTATTATACCACTTCACACTGGAGATAGAACGCAAGCACCTATGATCAAAAACAGCTGGCTAGCCTTTTCATGTCTTCCACTCTTAATGGCCAGGTATCATATCTAGCCATAAAGGAGGACGGAGCGGACTGTTGAGCAGTATACACGCCCTTTGGTCGATAGTCGGATATCAAGTGTACGCCAGAGACGGCGTAAACTGGCATATGCGAGACTCGCCTCTGTATTCGTGCTGAGATTTCGTCAGAGATCAACCCGTTGAGGCTGGCTGATGGTACTTCACAAGTAAGTGAAGCGGTCAACGTGCTCTACCACTTCACTTCCTATTTCTAATCTAGGAGTTGGTGTAGTCCGACCCTGTAACATCATCTTGCATTTTACAGGGGCGAATCGCATGCCAAACATACGAAGATTGTTGCTCAAGGTGTTCAGTAGACTCTGCTCTATTTTGTCAGCGTCCTCGCCTAGAAGGACTGTATCGTCCGCATATTCTAAGGCGACGAGATTATTCCCTGGTAGCAAGTCAATCCCTGAGTCTCTTAAGTGAGTTAGGGTTAAGTCCATTAGTACGTCTGTGATGAAGTTGAATAGAAATGGGGATAATGGGCATCCTTGACGGATGTCACTAGTCGTCACCACTTCAAATGACAGCTCGCCGTAAGCCATATACCATTGTCACACTACCCTGGAGGATCTTAAAAAAATGTCACTTGTTTCTCTATTATTTT